ATACTTTTAGAGCTCCTCAGAAGGAAACGTGACACAGATCAGGCATCCTTGAAAATTCTATGCCTTGCGGGGCCTGGACTATGGCAGTGATTGAGTACACCCCCAACGTTAATCCATTGTGTATTTCTTAAAATATTTCCTCAAAGATATTCACAGAGTACTACAGAAAACTTATTTTGAACTTCATCGTCATATGATGTACGAACTACTTGCTGTTTTGGTGACCAAGATTTTCGATTGAAACTTTGTAACCTGAATGTCTCAACTCGAACCAATGCGCCTTTTCTGATTAGCTGCTGTGGTACCGGCTGTTTGATATTTAGGGGACCTTGGTCGAGATGTGCTACAGTTTGGTGGCTCTCTCCTTCTTGGGGCGTCCTACGTTCATTCCGAAAAAAAAATGCTTTCAGTTCGATCAGTAATAATTATTGCTTTTTTAAATTACCCTACTGTAGCTCCTTCGCGGCCAACCCATTGTTAGCACGCAGCTAAAAGCGTGCCTTGCATCCAAAGCCCATCGTGATTTTTACTGGAATGACAAATACAATCCTGGCGAAGAGGTTTGTCATTTTTAATAATATTTTCTTCTATTGAACGGTTTCATGAGCTGTACAGTTAATAATTAGACGTTTAAGTATGTTTTATATGCTGACTTGATAATACTTTCCTCTATTGAACGGTTTCATGAGCTGCACAGTTAATAATTAGACGTCTAAGTATGTTTTATATGCTGACTTAATAATATTTTCTTCTGTTGAATGGTTTCCTGAGTTGTGCAGTTAATAATTAGACGTCTGAGTATGTTTTGTATGCTGACTTAGGTTACTTGCCGTACGTCCCCTCTAATGATGCATCTTTAAAGATTTTGTAGTTTTCAGCACTGTATGCGTTGTATTAGTAGCACTGCTTCTTTACACTATGCTCACCACCACTCAATTTTTTGGTTGTTTGGTATGCGGGAAAATACTGAAATTTGTTAACTTCTGCGCACTGCTATCCCGTCCGTGGAATTGTTTCTTGTTCTATTTAGCCACAATTTAGCTGCGTTATGGCGAGTGAGTAGATACGCCTTAGCTTCTGTGTTTTCTGTATATTAGGTAAAGGGAGCGTTTAAACAGTTATCGAGGTTTTCATCGCTGTGCCTCAGGAAACAAAACTGTGCAAAATCATATGGACGTGTTCGTCGATTTTAGCAAAATCGAGTGTGTACACTGGGCAAAGAAAAAATATAATGT